GAGGAACCAGCACAAGAGGAAAGACTAAGTTTTACCGCATACTCCTCCTGATGTGTGAAAAGGATAGAACAATTCTAGACTTTGGGGATAGCTGACTGTCCATGAAATTTAACAACTGCATAGAAATTAGACATTAAAGTGCTATTTCTTTAATGCCTTTTCTTTTGCCTATTCACCTCTCAGAAAGTTGGCCTGAAACTTGAGTGCTATCAGCTAAAGCAGAGTGTACTAGCCACACAGTCTACACCATGAGGCTTGAGATTTATCTGAGCTTTACATTTTTCTTCTCTGCTTGTGCACCCTGACATCTGTAGGCAGGTGTGTCCGTTCTTGTCACTGATTCTGTGACATTTTTCCTCACGTAATAGAGTTCAGGAAACATTACAGATCCTCAGGAACCCTTTTTCTTTTCATGCTGTTGGCCTATAGCTTATATGTCTGCCATGGTGGAATTCAGCTAGGCTCTCCTATCCAACTGACTCTTTTTCTAAAGCTTAGATAAAAATGAAATATTTGTTAAAATAATAAAACATCACATTTAAAAGAGTCACCATTATTTGATATAAAATATAGTGAATCACAGTTTGAGCTAAGGCCAAATTTTAAGAAATACTAACACCTAAGTTTTGTCTGGTACCTTTCTTGTTAATTTTCAACTGCTATGAGCCATTGCATGATTAAACCCTGCTTCTATTTCCCAGACCTAAGTAGAAACAGTTGTCCTGATCTTTATCTTAAAATTATAAGTATTATATAGTTTTAAACTTCATAATCATGGCTCCAAACCCTTCAGGGACTTAGAGCAGACTTATAAGTGATTTTCTCATGGCTTTAATATTAAGTCTTAAAACTACCTACACTTAATTTTCCAGAGAGACCACGCTAAGTTGCCTTCTTACAATTCCCAGTTGGCAACCCAAGTAATTCCTGCTCACTCTGCTGTTTCGCTCCCTAGTTCTTGAAATGATCAGAAGTGCCTTTCTTCATGTCAAAAGACCCCACCAACCCAAGGCAATGAATAGAAAGGAAAGACCTTTGGTTGTCCCAGAATACGCTGGCCGCTCCAATACAGAGAATTTATTTTCTTCTGTGTGAATGTGCTCTTTCTCTATCTCCTTCCCCTTTAGCACCCAGGCGTGCTTTAAAAATATAATCAGTGTTGAGTGTTTGACTCTCGCTGCCTCCCAAAGCAGGACCACACTCCTTAAAAACATGCTTCTGTTTGTTTTTTGTTTTGTTTTCCAAGAAGTTAGGCCCTCTATGCCACCTGAAACATGCTTTGTAAAACATATCTCAGCAGAATATGAACAGCTTTGAGTCAAAAATAATTTCTTCAAAAATTTTATAGATGATATCTTTGATCAAAATTTCATTAATCACTCGCCAAAAAATCTGGTATTGTTCCTACTAATCCCTTGTCTCCCTTTGGGACCTCATCCTTTGCCTGGAACCAGAAACCCTTAATAATCTTTAGGTTGGAGCTCCACCATTCTGTCAATCATAGCTTGGCTCAATAGCAAACAAAGATATTTTTGTTTCCAGAGTTTTCCCATTTTCTTTTCTCTTTCTAGATATCCTTATAAATTTGCTACTGATTTTATTTTGTTTTGTTATGACACCGTCAATGATTTCTTTTGTTTGTTTAAGCTAGAATTACATGCGACATTATTCTTTATTTATAAACCTTTAATTTGACTTTCAGTGACTTGGCTTCTTTAAGAAGAAGCCAATACATACAGGTATATATAACACACATATTAAAATGCATAATATACACACACACTAAATACATATCTAATGTGTAGGTACACTTATACCCATATAAGACATATATTCAAATACACTTCTATACACACTAATTACATCGCTAGAATATTAATTTAGTTAGGAATTTATTTTATTATATATACATTTTTTACATCACTCTTCATTTGATTCTAAATGGATTTTACAATATTCCTGAGAACCTCAAAAGTCAAGAAACTAGAGAATGAAGAGATTCAGCTGGAAGAAAAATATCTCTATATTGGAAAAACCAGTCGTGCATATGTGTGTAAGTCAAATACATACATATATATGTAAAATTACAGATATATATTTAAAGATACATATACATGTATATGTATATTCATACATGTATTTGATCTGTAAAATATTTAGTAAGTATCTCCTATGCACCAAGCACACACATCCTGGAAAGGAAAAGAATAAATGACATTTTTCTTATTTCAAGTTTCTCACAATCTAACAAGAGAAAAAGACACATACAATAAAGTAATAAATAAATATACAATATAAGCATATAATAAATCTTGTTTTATATGAATAAAGGACTTTGGGAGGACAGAAACAGGTGTGTTTAATTATTGCTAAAGAATTTGAAGCTGGATTTGCTAGGTCATAAAGGATTAGAGGGTTTCACCAAGGAAAGACTGAAGATGAGCCAGACATGGAGACAGAAATATGCAGAATGAAGAGGTAACAAGGATCTATGGAACAGCGATTTTGTTTTCGGGGGTAGCAAGGTAGGAGGACAGGAAAGTAAGGTTGGGACCAGGTTATGAAAGTCTTTGAATGTCTTCTTAAGTTCTCATTTTAGTTTGAAAGCAACTGAACATTATAAGAAGGTTTTAAATGGAGAAATGAAATCAATTTCTCTAAATTTTAAAGTTGTAATTTGGGCTTAAGAGTATATAAGAATGGCCCTCCCTGGTGGCACAGCAGGTTAAAGAGCAGCACTGCGAATCTGGCAAAGGCTGCTTTGGTGCGAATTGGATCCCCTGCCCTGGAGGTAACCGGCAGGGTGCTACAGCCCTATCCTGACCCGCCCGCTGCCCCCCTCAGCAGTGTACTTCATCAATCTGCCTGTTCTGCTCCCCACTCTGTCTCTGGTGAAGCCTCTCACTGCCCCTAAACCTATTGCCCATACCCCAGTACTATATGCATAAATAAATAAAATCTTTAAATATATATATGTGTATATATATATGTGTATATATATATACAAGAATGAGAAGAACAGAAAAATCAAGGAGGATAGTTAATCAGTTATCAATCAGGCCTTCAAACAAATCAATAGCAGAATTAATGCTAGTGATTATAAAGGTCTGTTCTAGGCTAATTTCAGTGTGCGGGTAGAAGATAAATTACAGAAGAGAGTTTTAAAGTCGAATCTGCTGGGTTTTGTGACTGTGAGGAATTGAAGGAAAAGAGGAGGCAAGTAGGGTCTGAGATTTGGGGTCCAGTAATTGGATATGGGCGGTGCCATAAGCCAAGATTGAATAAACAAAAGGAGGAACGTTTCCGAAAAGGTTAGTTCTTAGAGGATATACTCAAGTGTATATTCACAGGGTGAAGTTAGAGCCCAGGGGAAAGTTACACCTAGAAAAGTGAATAAAGTCACTAGTGAGAGCAAGCGTGTAGAAGTTAAAAATAAAAGTCAAAAATTAAATACCCGGGCCCTCCCCTGGTGGCGCAGCGGATTAAAGCACAGCACCAAGAAGCTAAAGACACTTCAGCATGAGTTCGATCACCGCCTGCCCCGGAGGTGACCACATGGCACAGCAGAACTCTCCTGACCCGCCCGCTGCTCCCCTCAGCAGTGTACTTCATCAGTCGACCTGTTCTGCTCCCCACTCTGTCTCTGGTGAAGCCTCTCACCACCCCGGCACCTCTGGCCTGTACCCCAGTTCTGAATGCATAAATAAATCAATCTTTAAAAAAAATTAAATCCCCAAAGGTCATCACATTAAAGGGAGATGGATAAGAGGGACCATAGAGAGCCTGGAAAGCAAGTTCAGGTGGGTGGAGAAACAGAGAAAAGGTATAATAGAAACTAATGGGAAAGTAGTGCAGAAAGTAGAGAAGGCCAGAGTGTCAGGGCTGCCAAGAAAACGCATCCCCATACCAGAGCACAGGAATCTGACAGGGCAATTTTAAGAGAGTTAGCAAGTTAGGTTTCCAGTAGCACCTTGAAGAGAAGCAGGAAATGAAACACAACACTCTAAAGCAGAGGGCCTCTGTAACCTGCGGGAAAGAGAAGGATTTGGGAATGATTTTGGCTTACTTCTTAAATAATTAAATGTCACAGAGTAACTAACAAATTTTAAGGCCTAGAACTTGTCATTATGAGGTTTAAAAACATACAAACTTTGTCTTCCTCATGACAATCTCCTTCATTTAGGATTACTTTAAATCCTGCCATAGGTAAATTGTCAACTACCTTTTATTGATCATGTACAATTTATTTCTCCTAACGATAGTGTTTCAGCCAATGGAAAGAACATGGTCTCACAGTAAACTGGGGTGTTAGAATTTGGACAATTTAACTGTGGATCAATACCCACTTTGAGGATATCATGTATGGGGGATATCACTGATGAAGTCAACCACAAATCCTAATTCCTTGACAGAAGATAAGCCAATGAAAAAAGACTAGAAGAAGGTATCGAATCAGGGGAACAGTACAAGAACACTAAAGAATGGGAATGCATCCCCAAAATAGATAAATAATGTAGAAGGAATGGCAGGAGTCTCTTGATCTGGGATGAGAACATTATTTAGACTTGAAAGAAGTCTTTCATAGAATAATGAGGTGAAGACCAGACTTGGACACAAATAGACGGTAAAGTATTGATGTACTCAATCAATGCAATAAATAAAGTTACAATACAATTTAAGTAATTTATCTTCTACATACAATGAATTTTATATAAAATGTGCCTGAGTATGGATGGTTCTCTATGCCTATATATATATATATACATACATATACATGTATATTTAAGATGTATTAATCTTAAAGGATTGACAGATCAGGGCTGCTTTTTATTCATAATTATAAACTTGGGAACTTACTTTTCATCCCAAGTAACATGAATTTTTATAGGCTAATGAGGACAAATTTCTTATCTCTAGAAGGATTATATACCAGTTTCTATGATGCTTCTTGATATATAACTAATTTCATTCCCTCCTTTCTCTCTCCCCCCACTCCACAGTGGAATGGAGCATGTCTAAAGACTTTTGTCCATTGGCTGGTGAAATCATCATGGAAAACTTACAGACCCTGAGATGCACAATCACAGGACTTACAACGGTAAATGCCAAATCCTCCTTTTAGACTTCCTATTTGTCTGTGCCTAATGTTTGTGCAGGGGTTTTGGTAGCAAATGCATACTCTGGAAACAACAGCCAACACCCAGTCCTCTGGCAACAACTGCCACTCGTTAAGCGTGATATGTCTGGTATCCATAATCTGAACTCCACAAAGGAGTGAGCAAACAGCATGAACCACTTTGTAAGCTGCCATGTTCTACGGAGATCAGAAAAAGACTGGCCTCATGCAAGCCTTGAAGGCTGCTGCTCTCTGGATCACAGTCTAATCTTCAGGGGGGATCAAAGGCTCTGAGAGATCCAATTTTGACTCCCTGTCTGATGGTAAAAATAACAGCCTCATCTAACCCTCACCCCCACAGCCTCAGTTGAGATCAGTCATCAATTGGAGTCACACAATTTCCTGAGAGAAATCCTTTCCCTAGATTTAAAAAAAAAAAATCTGCCTAAATCTGCTTTCACAAAATAAAAAAGAAACTATATATGGTGGCATTACATTTCTCAGTAACCTGAACCAATTTAAACTGTGAATGAAAAACTCAAACTATGCTTATTTGTTCAACCGATTTAAACTCAAAAGTTAATTATTTAGAGAACTATAAGCCATTTAAACATACAAAATGCAAAAAATAAAAATACTAGTGAGTCTGTTTAAATTGCAAGAAATCCTGTATTTCCTCCAACAATTAAAATGCAACAAAACTTGATCATCAAAATCTTTTTTAATCAAAATTTTTAAAGTAAACTTAAACTGATTATACACACACACACACACACACACATACATAAACACATTTTGGAGGTTCAATTCAAGTAATTAATAGCTTGGGACTTTCATCTATGAAAAAAGAAGATTTTTTATTCTTTTTCTAAAAGGTTAATCAATTGAAAGTTATATATAACATTTAATGCTGAAACCCAGCATTAAAAAGCTGTATTAGATTGCATCTCTTCAAGTTTGAACCAGTTTATTCTAATAGAATTCTTGGTGGTTAGGTCGCCACCACAGAATCGTGACCTTTGGGCCTAATCACATGTCTACACCAGAGGCCAGAACTGTGTATTACCAGAGCAAACAAACCCCTGAGTGGGTGGCCCCCAGAGATGCTATCAGCAGAAGACTGATTCCCAACCCTATGGCTCACATGATGGAAGGGGGCCAGAAGAGAACCCTAGGGAATTTCCATTGCTCAAAAGAAAAAGTGATATGGTAATAAAAATGGAAAACTCTCCATAGAGAGTTACTCTAATATTTGAACTAATTTTTATAGGGATTAAGTTTTTCCACTTGGTCGTCCAATGAGAGCAGTGCAGACACTGCCCTAATCACATAAAAGCCTAGAAGTAGATTTACACTTCTACAGAATCGCCATAACTTTGAGGTAAATAGAAACCCATTTTTAATGTTAAAATAATTAACTTTATAACAGGGTAAGGCCAACATTATTAAATCCCTAGCAAGGCCTCTACAAAGATGTACTATTATTATTATTTTTTTTACTTCAAACACCATTTTGCAATTTTTGCAAGCAACATTTTTTATCAAATCTGGCCTCTAAAATGCCCCCTTGGGTTCATCAATGGGAAAAAAATTCTACAAAACAAAAATGTAAAACTATACAAAACATTTTAAAAGAATGTAAGCAAACCAAAACAGCCCCTTAATTCTTCATGTGATAAGACATTAAAGAATATAAAATCTTTAACACTCAAGTAGTTAATTTTAAAATGTGTGAATAACTGAGTAAAGAATATTAATCACAGCATCATTTACTGTGCCATAGAAATGTGAAAATTCCCTGAATGTCCACCAATGAGAAATTGGATAGATAAATGATGGCATTTGCCCCATATGAAATACTACAATGGCCCTTAAAGAATGAAACAGATCTCTAATGTACTAATCTGAACAGATATTCATTGTAATTTAATTTTAAAAGCAAATTAGCCTGCTGAAAAAGGTAAGATGGCAATGGTTGTTGCCTCTGAGGAGAAAGAGGTGAAGGTGAGAAATTGCAGTATGGGTAAGCTTTGTGGAATGGTGTGACATTCCTAATCTCACCTCAATTAAAATAAATTAACTCCAAAACATTTTTTTAATAATATAATAGTTTATTTTTACATCATTTTTGCCTTTTCCATCTCAGTTGCAATCCCCATGGGCTTCCCATCATCAATTCGCCAGTGTTCCATAACCATAGCCCAGTGCATTCTCCCCGACCACCCCCCCTCCACACACACATACACACCATTTTTTGTCCCATTCCCATGTAAAATGTCTCTGGCATATAGTTGTTCATTATCATTATTATTATTATTATTTCTCCCCTGGTGCATTATACTCTGCTATGAGTGAAACCATCCGGTATTTTTCCTTTTCTTTCTGGCTTATTTCACTAAGCATGATCCCTTCCAGTTCCAGCCATGTTGCTGCAACAGGCATGTGTTCATCTTTTTTGATTGCTGAACTCCAAAACAATTTAAAAGTAAAAAATGCATTATTTTACAGATGGGGGCAGGCGAAAGTAATTTCAATATTTCAATTTTGAAAAAAAAAAAGAAAGAAAGCTAAGAGCACCATAAATATGTTTATTATCACATGTAAACATAATGTCTGGATAAGCTAGAGAGCCAGAGTGTGGGTAGTGGATTTCTCAAGGGAAGTATAGTCAGTCAGTCAGACACAGGAATCTGCTTCTGGGTAAAGGTGATGAAGTTAATCTCCTGATGCATCATTTTCTCTATTTCAATGCTTGCAGGGCCAACCGTATTTTGTCCAAGTCTCCGCTTACAACATGAAGGGATGGGGAGCTGCTCAGACCACGACACCAGCACATGCAGCTCCTTCTAGTAGGTGCTGGCTGTGAGCGCTCTTAAATCTGTCAACGGGCTCCAACCCCACCCCCACCTTGGGATGCCACTGCCGAGCCTTCCCCACGAGGGACCAACAAGCCCTCTTCAGGGCGTCATCCGGCCGCATAATGAATGATTTCTTTGCTGAAGTATTCCCCAGGAGCAACGCAAGGGCATGAAAGCAGAGGGAGTTTGAAAACAGCAACTGCAAATTTGATTCTCATTGTCTCTTATATTGACCCAAGGGTCTTAAAGTTACTTAGACTTTCTGATCATCAGTTCAGTATCTGTAGAACAGGTCTCCAGGACCCTTTCCCAGGCTTGGTGGGGAGTCGTGAAAGGGCTGTGAGAAAGGCTGAGCCAGAACACACACCGTCTTTTCAGCTTTCATCTCTCCACCCGCCCTCAGCGGTTACCTCCACATCATTCGATGACAGAATGAAATGTAGCAAATCTTACTTATATGACATTCTGTCAGAAGAAAAGGCTTCTTACTAACAGGCACTTTGCTATACTCTGCCACAAGTGATCTATAAAATGTATAGTGGTGGCTGAAGAAACAACAGCAAAGCCCTTATAATTATTGGAAGATTAATAGTTTATGCCTGGTGTATTTGATAACACTATTAACCAAAAATGTTAATTAACCGGAAGAAACATCTCCAAACAAACCATCTGTTTTTTTGAATAATTACCCTATTACTCTGAATTGTATTTTAATTTTTAAAACTTCTTCATTAATATGATAGATTAAAATGATATGTTCTTGGCAGTGTGCACACTGTAGCATCCTTCATGGCACATGTTAGCCATATTATGCTGCTGTCATAAGAACATTTGTTTCTTTTTTGCCCACCATTACATACCAGATAACAGACAATCATGTGCGCACAGACACAGATCGTGGGGAAAGCAATTCTCCAATATTAATGTAATGATTAAATAAAGCCTGACATATACATGTCCATACCACAAGAGCTAATGCAAGAATTGAAAATAGAGCAAGTCTCACAGGGCTGGAGGGCAGAGGGAATATGTGTTCCTGGAGATGTGTGCTAAAAGGGACAGAAAGCACCAAAAAATGCTAATCTCAGTGGGCCGGGAGGTGGGGTGGGGGAGGCCCCATGTACTCTGCTGCATTTGGGTGCGTTTACTTGTCCATGTCAGATGTTCCAGTTCTATACATTTCCAATTCGATCAGACACTCGCCCTCACAATCCATTTGAAGTGCTTTCTCCAGATGATAAGAAGCATTGTCCAGGACTGGGAAGAGTCACCTATTACCTGATTTAATATAGCAAATGGCAACACTTTCTAAAATGGCACATTTAATGAGTAGGGGTACCTGGCAAAAATCTCACATCCTAACCTATCATTATAGTTATTACAGACAGACAGGTCATATCACTTGGCCAGATCAATACAAAAATACTCTGGTTCTATTCATAAATAGAGTATGACATTGTGATGTAACATATATCAGTATTTAGATATTTACTAGAGGACAATGTATTCTAACATGACAGAGTAATTGGAAATTTGGTAATATGTTCCAGTAAGCTATAAAACTTTTTCTATATTTCTACAAAAGGCCTTAATGTGTTTTTATAGACTTATGTTATATGGTATGGTACATAATAAGAGAAAAGGACCCAGACAGGCTTGTCTGAGTTACGATCGGGAAAGCCCTGATATCGCCAGTGAATGTAAGCTCTACATTGTGTTGCAATTCAAGTGTCTCGTTACCAGAACAGTGAACTGTATTATGTGGCACAATCTGCTCTTTTCCTACCACACTAAGTTTATTCCTGTCAGGTTCCTGATTTCTTAATATATTTTCAATTTTCTTCCTCATCCCTAAAGTCTCCTATTTTATGCAGTCGTCAGAACCTTCCAAACATCTATGAGAAAAAGTCATTCTTTCCAAAAACCTTGGCATCGTGTCCAGAGCTCACTGGGGCTGCAATTTAGCATTAGCAATTTTCTAATGTATCATAAAGTCATCAGCTCAAGCTCGCCTCTGATGTAATAGGACCTGGCTACAAGAGCCAGTCCACTGCTCTCCCCTCACCCGTCTGACGGTATTAACACTCATTAGAATGTATTAGCATGTTCTGGGCCACGCAGTTATTCTGCCACCCTGAAGTCTCCCTCAAGCAAACAGTGTTGTTCATCTTGCCCTGAACCATTCCGGTGCATTTATTGGACAAAAGGAACAAACTCCCAGTAGCCTCTGGGTGGTCACGAGCGTTTATTCTCCCTGTGCCCAGATGTGAGGATACTGCAGAAAAAGGGTCAAGGGACACTTGAGTTCATTTCCTCAAACATTTCTCAATTTCCCAGTAAAAGCCCCACCTAGCCCATTCTTACCTGAACAGCATCATGCTTCTCAAAGTCACCATGCCACCAACCAACCTTTAGTAAGGGCCTGACTCAAATTATTTCTCTCAGACCTCAAAAACTCAAAGAGAAGAAAGCTGAGGCAAAGAGAAATTAAGTCACGGTTCCTGACCACAAGGAACAGTCTACAGAAGGCACCTATGCCAATTCCCTGTCTCCAGAGTTGACCACAACTGAGCCACACGACACAGACGCCAACCAAGTTCTGACCCTCCATCCTAGAAGAAAAAAACAAAACGAAATGAAACAAAAACAAAAACAAAAGCACCTAAGCTATGTCCATGTAGAATGAAATGAGCACTGTATAGACGTCATGAAACTTCACTATAGCAACTTGAGGAGCACAAAAATTGAGCGATTTTTGCTGCATCTCAGACTTCTGAGAGGTAAAATGGAGAAGGGGACATTAGAGAGGATAGGAAGAAAGATGGATGAGGAAACTCCTTGTGGAGGCCTCCTCCATAAGATAACATCTGATAGGGTAGCAAATGACGTCCCCATCCTTATGCCTTGGGAGTTAATTCTGCATCAAAGAATGTCCTTCTTTTTGTGTTCCTCTTTACATAATGCCTGCCAGGTAACAATCCCTAATGTTCTTTTTATTTAATTCTCATTGAAATTCTGTAAAATGAGTAGTCTACTAGCTTTCCACATTATGGAGCAGAGGCCTTTGTCTTCCAGACTCTCCACTGGGAATCAGAAGAGCCACACCCAGATTTAGCTGGTGCCTAATCCAGTGATTTTTAAAGCGTGCTGTACTATTTGACCTTGGGTTGACCAAGGTGGCATGCTTTTACCTAAATTTTAGCTGTCATGGTGTCTGCTTAGGTTTTGGAAAAGGGTGTCTCCATGCTTTAAAGTAAATCTAGGGGAGGGGGATTTGAAACACTTTCGATTAGATTTAAGCTTCTGATACATTTGTGAACTGACTTTTTGAGAAAGAATGGTCAGCATTTTTAGAGAAAGCATTTCAACCAGCAGCTCTTGAAGTTGTTGTATTTGAAAGGCTCAGAAAGTAAAACTAGGGTGGGGTGGGGGGATATAGAGGGGCGTAGAGATGGACTATGAAAGGATTGACCCACTGAAAGAAAAAAATCATGAGTTGGAGACGGCAGAATTACAATCTTGACATAAGTCCCATACGGGTTATTACTCTTGATATCATTATAGCCAAATGGAATGAAAATAGAAGGGAGAGAAAAATCTCAGTGGGTATTGCAATTTAAATTTGCCATGTAAGCTAATACTGTATATTTAGAGACTGAGCAGACAGGGTGGTTGGTGGCTCAGAGTATGTGCAGGCGTTGCTGTGCCAGCTAACCAAAGCAGACATTCATTAGAGCAAAATGTAGATTTCCATTTCTTGGCATCTGACATGGGCTCTTTCCTTGGAAAGAAATGTCAATTTGGCCAAAAGTGTGAAACCTACAATAAAAGCATTGGGACTGTGGATTTCATCTAGTCTGCACATTCTCACCCCTTTCTTTCCTATTATGAAAATCCAGTTGAGATTTGGGGTCCAGGGGAGTTGAGAAGTAGCAGGGGAATTGATTAGGACATGAGATGCTGACAAGAAGGATAAGGAGCTAGAGGTGGGGAGACTGGATTCCCAAATCCCCTAGTTTTTTTGACTTTCAATTACCAGTTTATCTTGCCCCCAAACTGCCCGACGCAAAGAACGAACCACAATTACTGTTTTGCACAGGGCCCTAAATAAGGCAACTTCCAAGTCCAAGTCCTTGCTCTCTGTGCAAGTGCTGGGTGCTTGCTCGGAGTCAGTGGTAGTGTGAGCAGAGCTGGGCTCCTGAGGCAGGGCAGGGAAGAGGCCTCCCGCTTCACCATTCGCTGTTTGTTTCTTTTGTTCAATAGACTGGAAAGACTATGACGACAGAGAGCCCAGACACAAGGGACAAAGCGAAGTTTTGGAAGGTCTGCTGCAGCAGGTCCGAGCCCTTCATCAGCATTACAGTTGCCGGGGTAAGGATAAAAGTCTGCATTGGGCCATCAACCTAGGTCTCGGTGGCGCCGGTAATTTTAGCAGCTTCCTAACTGGGTCATACCTTCTCATTCATCAGGGAGAGGGAGATATTAATATTTGTACATCTGGAATCACTTTACAGCACTATCTTGCTTTAACCCTTCAGAAAATACTTCTCTCTCCCTCTCCCCTTCTCTCATCCTCTCTCCAGGCAAAGAGTTTGAAAACAAGTGCGAGAAAAGCAGCAGCTCCCACAGTTCCCTCTCCTTTGAATCATTCCTAACTCCTATCTCAGTCTTTAAGAGAGTCACCCTCCAAGTGTTTACTTCTGAAGAGAATTCCTCTTAGAATCCCCCCAAAAATGCAAACTAAGTGTAACAGCAACAACACTAATAAACCTCTGTGTATATTCACAGTGAAGTTTACGATGCAGCTTCACATTCAATATCTCTTTTGCGTGCTTGTTTTTTGACTCTGAAGTAAGTGACTTGACCAAGGCCACACAGCAAAGACAAGACAGAATCAAGATCCCAAACCTGGTCTTCCATCTCCACCGCCTGTTGAACTGCCACACCTCACTTCCGTCTCCCACCTTTACATAAGGATTGAGCGCTGGACTCAATCCACCCTAAATTTTAACCTTCCTCTGTACTTTAGTTCAGAAGAAAGGAAGCATGCCTTTTCTAGACCTAGACAACTATACCCAGAAAATCTCTGAGAGGCTTTTCATACTTTCTCTTCTACTCAAACTGTTCAAATGGGATAGAGTCAGGTTTCTGATCTGTGTAATGACTCGTGGAACAGGCACTTAGTTTTATTTGGAGAATTAAAGCCCCCATAAAGTTTTCATTTTCCATGCTCCTTTACCCATCAGATCGCCAACTACATTGCACGCTCTAGGTTGAGAGCACCAGAGGGACGGGTAGGTAGGAAATCCTTGGTTGAAACTGAGAGATGCTAGCTGAGACTTAACTAGGTTCAAAGAAATTGTTCTTAGCACTAGCAAAGAGATATTTCCAACAAATAGATAGCTACAACAGAGCCCTCAGAAATGTCAGCTATAGCTAGAAATAAGGACAAAGGTTTGCAAGAATATAACACTCTTCTTGCATGGGTTAAGAGATGTAAATATGCACCAAGAGGGAAACCCAAGTGGGGGATCATTCCAGATCTCCAGGAATAACCAGAGCAGGACCTCCAACATTCCACACTGACAAGAGAACACCTAGTTCCCAGGGCCCATTCCCAAGTCAGGCATTGTCTAGGCATTCCTTCTCCATCCTTTCCCTGTCAATTGGCTGTTGTGTGCAGGCAAAGATAATAAACCAATTACATAGATTGATTATTTGCCATTCGTAAGCTTTGTGGTTAGTCTTTATCGGAGGGGGACAGATAAAAGTATTGGGAGGATGAACGATTGTGTTTTACCTTATTTGAGGATTTAGATATTTTCCCAATACTGCAAGATGCCTATCTAATAATCAAGAAACAATGGTCTAGACAGTCCAATTATTTCTACAGTTTCAGTTTTAACAAAAACATGTTTCTCCTCCACAGGAATATAGAATATAGAATATATATATTTAATTGAGACATAAGGTAGAATTGCCCAAAAAGGAAGGATTTTTTTTTATATTGACATGTACTTGGGGCACTTAAATAGTACTCAAAGTGTGACCCAAATAACAGTGGTTCGAAATGATGCTCAGCTGAGAGTCTGTAGTCAAGTAAGTTTGGAAAGTCTTGCATTATATATCCCTTTTGGAAATATAAGATTTGATTAAGGATGCTGAAAAAGAGACATTTTTAACTTCGTCAACCAAATGCTTTCTAAATATATTTGGTCACTGCTAAATTTTCTCACAGAATTAGTATTCCAAGGCACAAACTTTGGGAAGAGCTGACCTATAATATGCCAAGATAAAAGAAATGAATGTGCAGAAAAGGGATGATTTTAAGATGATCTAACATAACTCTTAAGAATAAATGAAAGATAATTAACTGTTGTATAGGGAAAACAACAAAATTATTGCTTACTCAGCTGCATTAAGATATTATGTGGTTTATTAAAAACATAAATACAAATTACACAAATAAAATTCTATATGTGCTAGCTTCATGTTCTTGAGGAAGGCATTTTTTCAAGCCATAGCTCTTCCATCAGAAAAATCAGGATAGTATTATCTATCTTTTAAGACAGTTAGGAGGGTTAGGTGGGTTAAACTCACCTAGCATAATGCAGGCATTTTACAAACTGGACCTCCATTTTCCCTCCAGATGAAGAATAGGGCTGTTCTCTGTCTTTAGCACTTGAGTAAAATGTTCTAGAATTAGAGTGTAATCATTGATTTCACTGTTATGAGCCTGAGTACTCAATAAAGACAGCATATTTCAATGTAGAAATCAAAGAAAACATTCCTAGAAGGAAGATATCAAAACCCATTTTGATTTCTGTATTTTGACTAAGGAACTTGTCACAGTTAACCTGCACATTCAGATTGCAAATTGAATGGAGAAGTTCACCAATTTTTACTCTTCACACAGTTAAAGCCCTGACATACATGATTATAAAGAAGCCAGTTTTGTTCACGGCAGCAATACACTACAGGAGTGATTTTTTTAACTGGCAAACATTAATTGAAACACTGTCTACCATGTAACAGATGTGAAACATACCAGTAAAAGAGCTCTGTGCTTCAAGCACTGTGTTAGAATTCAAAAAACTAAGCATTGCTCCAAAGGCCTAAGCCAAGCAGACAATGTAGAAAGTGTGGCATTTCTTAGAAGAAAAGTGGACTTAGACTCTGCACTGGGCAAGAGAGTTTATCCTGCTGTAGTGACAAATCACCCCCAAGATATTTATTCCTCCTATTTTCTTTATGGCTATATTGGTTGTCCCTTTATGTTGTCATTATCCTCTCTTTAGAAATATTTACCAGCACTGTTGGGTGAGGGAAAAGAAATTCTCAGATGGGCACACTTTATGTGTGTCACGTCCACTCAGAAGTCATTGGTTAGGACCAGTTACATGACTCCACTAACCACAAGAACTCTTGGAAACTTGAATTTATCATGACCAGAATGGCGACCTGGCCTTTTAGTATTTGAGAGCCCCTTTACCATTGGCAGTAGCATCTCTCATTTTTCTCTATTTTTTAGCTTAATTGTCACTTCTATTTAAGTTTTATGTGACTGTTCTGTGAAACTGGCCTATATAGATTGAAATCCACTCTGGATATTGACTAGGTCTATGAACTGCAAGTTGCCTACCCTCTTTATGACCCACTCTGCTCATCTATAAAATGCAGGTAATGATTGTGTGTGTATTTACACACACTCACACACACTTGTCAGCCATTTTTAAGGATTGAAATACTTAGAGGAAAACAATAAAAAAAAACTAATAATAAAAAAAAAATCTAATTCCTACCATTCTCCATTTTCAAATTCCCAAAAGTTTCAATTGTTTTGGCCAATTCTTTTGATACTTTCTCTATATCTCTAAATAGTATTCATATTATTAAGTCTTCATTTCTTCATTTTTAGGTATTAGCTCATACATATACATGTAACTACCTCCTCATCCTCCTAAAAAGTTTTTTGTAATTTTAGTGAGATTGATGTTTATTACTTATAATGATCATGTAAATTCTTTGATTAGTTTCCTTTCCTGGATTTTTTTTTGTTTTCCCTATTAATTTATAATGAGGTCATGTTGTACATTTGCTTGTTTTTCTATGTGGTTATAATTAATTAATCTCCATGCTATTCTCCAATGATATCAACTTTCTCTCAGTACAATCAAATGCATGAGTAATGTTTCAACAGCATCTTCTTCAAGAAGTACTTCATGGAGCCCTCAGGCCCACCCTGTCAAGGGTGGTGACTGGCCGCCTCTGTCTGGTGCACAGCTGTCACCTTCGGATCTCCTTTCACTGCCATATTGAGGACTCCTCTTGCCATTCTTCAATATTGGATTTCTTTTGTTTTTAATCCATATCCTCCTTTTTTCTTGATTAGTCCCATATTTTGGTGGAATTTTCCTCTCATAGCCTCTTGAGAAGATACTTGAGAGCTAATTTTTGGACACAATGGATTCCCAGAGATGTGTCTGTTCTATTTAATATTCATGCAAGGGTTGAGATAAGTATAGAATTCTCACAATAATTTCCCTTGATTTTGAAGGCATTGTTTATGTGTTTTGCTAGCTTTCAGTTCGAGAAACCTGATGCTATTCAAATTCTAGAGTCTAAGCATAACTTCTTTTTCATACTCTGGAAGGTTTTTAATTTTCTTTAACTCAAATACTCCAAAAGTTCACTGATATGTGCCTAGTGTGGGTCTATTTTTTGTTTGTTAAGCTGGGCACTTGGCAAGCTGTCTCAATATGGAAACTTATATCCTTTAATTATGGGCTATTTTCTTAAATTATTTCTTTAATTATTTCTTCCCATCTTTTCCCTCTGTGCTCACTTATGAGAACTCTTGTTATTCCATACTGAACCTCCCAGACTAATGCTTTAATTTTATTTTTCTTTCATCCCTCTACTATTTTCCATTCCCATGTTCTTTTTGCTCTACTTTCTTGGAGATTTCCCCAACTTTATTTTCTAGGGTTTCTGTTGAGTTTTTCAGTTTCTGGATAAATTTTGATTTCCAATATTTTCTTTCGTGAATCCTATTTTTTTTTACGAAGATGCAATGAAATTTCTAGGCTATTAAAAATAAGCTTTGCTATTAATGATGAGCTTATATTTCTTTTCTCAGTATAGTCTTTTAGCTAATTGCTTTCATTTATTTGTCTTTTACCTCTTTTTCTTTTTTTTTGACACTTCTTACAACCACCTGGTGATTCCTGGACGTTTGCTCAGATTTAAGACATTGGGACATGGATAGGGCTCTTTATTTATAGATTTTACTATAGAGTGAGTAGCATAACCTCTCCTTTAATAAATTGATAAAGTCATTGTCAGATTCTTTAGGTATATTTCTCTTAGGCTGTTCAGTGTCCCCAGACACTTTTCTTCTAGTGTCCTGCCTGGAGAGTATATACTTGAGTACCATTGTTCTGAAAACTCAAGGGGGGATTACTATATATGGGAAATTTGCATTTAATCTACCTGTTTTGAATGTAGTATCACCCTCTTGCTATGTTTCTAAATTCACTCTGTGTCTCCCAATCCAGTCACCTCTGCTTTTATACTTTTCAAACAATAAGCCATTCATTTTCTTCTTTTGTAGGGAAGGAATTTTTGTCCAACTACGCAAGGTAAATGTAAAGATATAGAAGTTCAGCTACTTTAAACAGACAACAAATTCCCCTGATTTTAGCTCCTTATTCACTCCCTACATCAGCAGTATAAGGCACCCATGGGGTGAATCAAATTACTTCTCATCTTTCTTCACTGCTGGCTTAGGTTCATCTTTCTCATGTCTGCTAAATCCATCTGTCCATCTGCTTTCCAGCTACCAAAATTCACTCTCTTTTGTCCCCTTTCCTATTTCTTTGTCTTATAGACCTATTTAAGTTTTTTTTTTTTCTTAATTACCATACTCGAGTATCAGTGAGGTATCAGGAGAGAGTGGTATGTGATGAACATGTTCAGCATGCTGCCTTTAACCAGAAATCCCAGGAGCATCATTTTGAAGCAGGTTATGATTAGCCAAATTCATGTTCAAGTCAGGAAAAAAAAACTGCTTTTGTTTTGTTTTGCCAGGAATAACCATTACTAGCACAACTTGAAGCTGGCACGTACGCTTGCTTCAGTCAGCTCATTCCCAACTGCTTCTACAGAATCACACACAGAGTCACAACGGACCTCAGGTTTCTGTCCCTGATGGCAGTGATACAGGTCATGTTCTTTTCCCCAGCAACGTGAGTTTGGCGATGAGCCCAACAACTCAGTTTCCCTTCGTTGCATACAAGATGAAAATTTAAATCAGTGATAATCCAGTTTGGCTCTGTGGAGCACAACTTGCAATGACATTTAGGAATTTCACTCCTTTATCAGTGAGATCTCCAGATGGTACATAGAAACGTTGAATGGAAGCAATGGGTGGCTTGCTCACCACTGTAGTTACAGAGCCTTGCACATAGTAGTGGCCCCCAAGATTTATTTGTGCTATGAATGCATGTCACAGTTTTTCCAGATACTAGCTTTTGTTATCTTGGGCAATCCATATTAACTTCTCACTCTCAGTTTCTTCTTCTGAATGACAGCCATACTCTTGCTTACAACTATTTTTGCAAGTCAACAGATATAGCCAACGTACGAGCAATGTGCTTAAGTGGCAGGATAATATGGGTGGGGTTTTGTTCTTTTCTAGTCTGTTCCAGACTTTGTGTACTTTATTCATTTTTTTTATCTACTCATTTTTTTTAAAGATTTATTTATTTATTTGTACAGAACTGGGGTACAGGCCAGAGATGCTGAGGGTGAAAGGATTCACCAGAGACAGAGCGGGAAGCAGAACAGATCGACGACGAAGTACACTGCTGAGGGGAGCAGTGGGTGGGTCAGGAGAGGTCTGCCACGCCATGTGGTCGCCTCTGGGGCAGGCAGGGAATCGAACTCCTGAGGAAGTGGCTTTAGCTTCTTAGTGCAGTGCTTTCACCCGCTGCGGCACCAGGGAGGGCCTATCTATTCATTTTTTAATGAAAAAACAATCTTAATGGAATATACAAACTACAATGAAGAGTTTGACCAGCAATGAGAAGTGTGTAAATATAAAAAGATAATGGGGAGTAGATGAGCAAAGGAGTTGATTCCATTTTTTTTGTCTTGTAATAAATCACTTACTTGGAGAGTATAAACAAAACACCCAAGTGATTTCCTCTTGTTATCAATATTATATATCCAGCAGTATTTATACTGTAATTTTTTTTTTTTTTTTGCTGTGTTCCAGAAAGTTCAAAATTACAAACTGCCGGCCGCAAGCAGTCAGTCTCAAGGAGCCTGAAACACCTATTCCATTCCTCAAACAAGTTTGTGAAAACCTTAAAACGGTGGGTCTTGTGTTCACTTACTGGGAAGCCTGAATTTCTCAGGAACCAACTGGTTTTGAACTGGAATTTGGTAAAAGTTCCTCTGTTATAACAAAATACAAAGTTTACTCTTCTCCTGATTATTTGAGTAAGATAGTAATTTCTCTGAGTTCTAGCCCATGAACCTGTGACAGTTAGCAAGATCGTGTTCATAATGGGTCTTAAATTATCTTTTATCATGTTCAAAAATGTTTTGCCATGCTTCAGGCTGGACAGAAGAGATGGTTGAGGACCATTTTACTTTGATTTTTTCTTTTCAGGGGACTCTACATAGCTGTTATATTTTATTACAAAGACAATATGTTAGTCACCAATGAAGATCAAATACCGATTGTTGAAATAGATGACTCTCATACCAGTTCCATTACACAGGATTTTCTGTGGTTCACAAAGGTATATTGAGTTCAGATTTAATTTTTCTCCACTTTGCAACAATGTTACTGCACGTAAATCTCTGAAACCTTAGTTGAGGGGTCTCTGGTGATCAAAGTATTGGGGTGGGCATAAATTATCCCAAAGGTCTTTTTCAGCCCTCATATGCCTTAAGTCATTAAAAACCTCCAACGTGGTGTCTACACTACATTTTCAAAGCAAAGAAGCTTGCATCCTGTCAGATTGTGTCTCCACTAGTCTGAGTTATGGGATCACTTGGCAAAGACTAAAATGTGGATCTGACTGTTTCATTAGCATTCAGATCTTTTTCCAATTGGACAGAGATCAAAAAGTTGTTTCGTGTGTATCTGAAAATGGACTGGAGAACAAACATCAGGGGTCAGGTTTCCTTCTCCCTGCTTTGCTTTGATGCCACAACCTAAATCATGTACTGGCTTGGACGCTGATATGACCACGTGACTTCTTTTGCAGCTGTCTTGTATGTGGGAAGATATAAGATGGTTGAGGCAAAGTGTACCTATCTCCATGTCTTCATCCACAGTACTACAGACTCGGCAGAAGATGCTCGCAGCAACAGCCCAGCTACAGGTGAGGGCCCGGTTTCAACCCAGACCCCCAAGGAAAGTTTAGAAAAACTTGGTCAATTCAGTTACCAACTCCACCTGGAAAGAAAAAGGGTAGATCCCTTGTTATTCCAGATCCCTAAAAGCATGTGATTGTGTGAGTTGCAAACCTGTACAGTTTTCTGGAAGAGTCTAGGAGTGACTCCCTAAACAAGGAGTGAAGAGAATTTATTTCATATCTGATATTAAACAATCAGCCCATTTCTCCTTTCTGGGCTGCACCTTTATACTTGCAAAATAAGAGAGAGTTGACCCAATAACTTTAAGAATTCTTGCTGCTCTGGTGTGCTGTATATCTAAGAATGTAAGGAGAAGGAGAAAGAGACCAGCAGATATTTGGAAGTTTCTCGGAATAGTGCTTTTAGTGAAGCACAGGCAATTGTATACATTTTTGCTTACTCTGAAAAAAGCTTAAAATCTTATCTTTAATCTTAGATGCATTCATCCTCCCATACTGTATCAGATCAGATCCAAAACCCTCTAAGAAGCTTTACAGGCTACAGAGCTCCTTCTAGAAATGAAATTGAATTCTTACCAAGCTCTTCTGGGTTTTCCATTCATTATTTTCTGGTATTAACTGAATTTGTGGTTTTTAGGTACATGGAACTGAGGCCTTTAAGAAATCACTGAATTTCAATCAGTGATGGGTATATACTGGCAAAGCTGTCAGTTGCCAGAAATACACATGACCGAACTCTATACAAACTGTGTTTGGTCAAGTCATACCAATCAAGGCATAAAAATAGGGTTATAGTAACACAAAAAATTCTATGGTTTCATCACCCCCTACAACTAGAGGAACTTTGTTTCTTGCCCATACAATAACAATTCAACTCCCTGCAATAATAATTATCCTATTACTATTTTAATTAACTCTGAAATGTAAGTCTTACTCCTTACTATACGACAGTGTATAGGCAGTTTACTGCCTTCAACATCTTCAGAGATTTTAGCAAACAGAGCTCTCCATTTCAACTCATTCCTGACTCCACAATCTTCTCCTTCAACTCAAGATGTTCTCAGAGCCGAGCCATGTTCCCCCTTCCTTTCATCCCTGGATTGGACAAGGTGATGTCCCTCAACTGTTCCTTCTTTGGAATAAACTTAATTCCCAGGAAACTCCTGGATCCTTCAGTCAGTTCCTTTCCCAAGAGACTCAGACTTCTTAATTGCCTCCAAGCACCCATCATATAGCCCAGACATGCTTGGATCACTGACTGAACACCTTAGATACTCAAGTGGAGCTCTTTATTATAGGTTAATTGGAGGCTTCCTGGAATATTCATTTGATATCAATAAGGTAAAAATGATCAAGTTGTCCCAATCCAGAGCTGTTCAGTGCCGAGGAGCTAAAGGGAAGACATCCTAGACAGTATTCCCCAGCTCAGCTATTCCACTTTACAATAGTGCTTGGGTTTTCTCAACCACAAATGAACTGATCCCACCACTTTGCATAACATTTAGATTTCTTGGCTTATCACAATAACTCCTTTGAAAGCTGGCTAAATTTTTGGCCACTGTCTCTCTCTGTATTATTTATTTGGAAAAACTCTAAGACCAGATGAATCTAACACTTCTACACTGGAGTTGTTGCACTTTGTGGCAGAAAAATGACAAAAGGCAGCTGACTGGTTTTATGTTAAATCCATGACTACAATTCCTACATATAATGTTACCAAGTGGTCCTATTTCATTTCTCTACTAAATTCTCTTTCCCCATACTATAACGGAACTATTTAAGGCCTCTCCATTCTCCCTCATTCCTTTTTCTTACCCACACTCTCTTCCTCACATCAGGGGATGATGTCACTGTAAAATTCATTAAGAAAATAAATGGGAATTGATTATTTTTCCACCCATAAATTTAAAAACCTTGCTTTGACTCTACCTTCTCCTTCCTTCCTCCTTTTCCAATGGACAGTCTTACTTCTTTCATCTGAGCTCTGCACTACAGCTCTGCCCTCCCTTTTATTGAAATATTCTGGAGTCTCTCCAGTGTAATGTTCCTCAAACCCATATGCCTCTTCAATTACAAAACTCTCTCTCTCTTCTCTACCTTACACTCAAATTTCTTTATTATTATTAGTTTATTTTTACATTTTGTGACTTTTTCCATCTGGGTTGTAATCCCTGTGGACTTTCCACCACCAATTCACCTGTGTGCCATCACCATAGTCCCATGCACTCCCATTTCCCACTGTATCCCCGTAAAATGTCTCTGGTATATAGTTGTTTGTTGTTATTATTATTTTCTCCCCTAGCCCTTTATGCATCTGATATGAGTGAAACCATCCGGTATTTTTTCTTTTTTTTTCTGGCTTACTTCACTAAGCATGATTCCTTCTATCCATGTTGCTGCAAAAGGCATGAGTTATCTTTTTTGATTGCTGAGTAATATTCTATTGTGTATACGTACCACATCTTTTTAATACAGTCATCTACTTTTGGGCATTTGACACAAAATATCTTGTAAGAGTTGTCCATATTCTCCTCCATTGAGTTCCTCATTTCTCATTTTGTTCTCTGCCTTATTCCTGACTTTTGCTTTCAAAACTGCACTGTGTAAAATCACTACCAGTCTTTAAAGACAAGTGGTGCTCATGAATCTTGAGTTTCAGGGGCCCCTTTGCATGAACCCCCAACGTGTGGGAGCCATACAGTGTTTTAGGTGAGGAGGTAAACAGTGTTACAATCAAGAAACATTTCTGATAAATTATCCTAAGAAATCTCAGGAGAATTCCAAATATTCCAGTATTGGGAGTATTTCTCATTCAAAATACTCACTTTAACATCTAACTTTTCATTGGTCATTTTGTATTATTGTCTTATAGAAGGTCCCCAAATTATATGACTCAGGTCCTATAAAACCTGGCTTAGTCCTCCCCCAATGAATTTAGTTTCATTAAATCCAACAGACACTTAGATTTATTTATTTATTTGTGCATACAGAACTGGGGTACAGGCCAGAGGTGCAGGGGCGGTGAGAAGATTCACCAGAGACAGAGTGGGGAGTAGAACAGGCAGATTGACTAAGTACACTGCTGAGGGGAGCAGCGGGCGGGTCAGGAGAGGTCTGCTGTGCCATGTGGATCATCTCCGGGGCAGGAGGGAATCGAACTCATGCAGAAGTGGCTTTCAATTCTTAGTGCTGTGCTTTAACCCACTGATCACCAGGGAGAGCCCCCAACACACTTTTAACTCTCCTTTGCACTTGACATTTCAGTGGTGTTTGGTACTTGGTTCCAATCTCCCTTTTAAATGGCCACATCCCCTAACTTCTATGACTCTGCACTTTGCAGACTGTCTTGCAGCCTCCTCCCCTGTCTTTCCAAGACTCTTTTGCTAGCTCACATGCTGGAATTCTCTATCTTTTCCCTTCCGAATTCCTACACATCTTCCAGGTGGAAGTTTTAGCTTTTTCCTTCCTTATAGGAACTATTATTCTTCACTCTGAATGAGGGTGACAATCCCATTAATTAATTATTTATATCATCATTTATTTATTAACTTGCTTCGCCTGTGAATCCCCATGTTCAAGGCATGTATACTGCTTAGTTGCTACATCCCTCTACACCTCTCCTGGCATGTGGCAGAATCTCAGTACTGGTTGGACAAATACATGCATTTGTTAATCCAACCCCTTCACCCCCAAATGAGGTAGATCTCAGTGTTAAGCTAACATTATATCATGTTCTAAGGAAAGTTTTTTAAAAATGCATTCTAAGTAGACGGACATTAGTTATTCATAGATTCTGCTTATTGGCCTCTGATAGATCCCGTTGTACTCTGCTCCTCTTCCCAGCCTCACTGCCACTGCCTCAATAGTGTAATTATGTCAGAATCATCGGAAGGCATCCTCCTGCTCCAATCTCAACGTGCTCCAGTTCATTCCCCACACTTCTGCCAGAGTGGCTATGCTAAAAGGTCTGATCGCCTTTCCCTTTCCTTATGGTTAGAAAGCATACCTGCAAATGTGATTTTAGGGGTGTAGGCGTTGGATTAACCCCTTTCAAGAGTGTCTCAAACACTAATCATGGCACACAAAGACTCATCTCCGACTCTCTCCCCCTCCTTGGTTTCCACACAACCTGACTGACTCCTTTACCACAGAGCTTCATCAACCACTATGCAACCTGCATCTTGTTTTCCCGTTTCTGCTCTGTAGTGAAGTCCTTAAAGCCAGAATAAACAATAATCGCGAAACACTTTTCATTTATTTCACAGACTAGATGTCAGACCCTGTGTTATATGTGCTTTACAAACTACCTCCCATATTATCTTCACTACAACCTAACAAAAAGCTATTACTGACATTCATTTAGCAGATGATAATACTGAGGCCTAAAAAGATTAAATAACTTGCCCTATAGGAATATAACTAGGAAGTGTCAGAGTCTGGATACAAATCCACATTCATCTAATTCCACAGCCCACATACCTTCCAACATTTCATTGTCTTATTGTATGTCCACTTACAAAAATATAAACCAAAGAAACTGTCCACAGTCTAGTTTTAAAAGGAGAAAGAACAGGCCCTCCCTGGTGGCGCAGCGGATTAAAGAAGCTAAAGCACTTCAGCATGAGTTCAATCCCCGCACCAGAGGTGATCCACACGGTGGCACAGCAGACCTCTCCTCACCCACCCACTGCTCCCCTCAGTGATGTACTTCACCAGTTGGCCTGGGTTCTGCTCCCCACTTTGTCTTGGGATTTCTCTCACCACCCCTGCACCTCTGGCCTGAACTCCAGATCTGTGTGCATAAATAAATAAATCTTAAAAAAAAAAAAAAAAGAAGAAAGAACAAAGCTAGTCTGCATCATTTGGAACTTATCTAGAAGTTGACTTAAATATTATTTGGAAGAGGGCAAATATTAAGTGGCTAGTAATTTTTATCAATTAATAATATTGCTTTTGAAATTAATAATAATTTGTTAATAAGTGTGACCTAAGCAGAAGAAAAAACAAGAATCAGAAGAAAAGACAAGAATCTCCCAGAATTTCCACAAAACGGGATGACAAAGCCTTAAAGGAGCCAAGACCCCATGCTGTTCCTTTTCTCTGGAGAATGGCAGAAGCCACACAGCAAAAGTTCCCATTGCTCTAACACTGGGAGGTGTCCAGCTTCTAACCCTAAAATGCTGTCATAATCTGACACAACAAAGGGTTCACATTAAACAAGTCTCCATAGCTTTTAGAAATGACTGTTAGAGAAAAGAGGCAGGTAACAATTTACAAATACTATATAGTTTTCATTTTCCCAAAATTCTACTCTTCTTTTTCTGGCCTTTATGTGTCTACCTTAGATTTCCTTCAACTTGTCACGTCACCCCAAACTGAATAAAGGGCTCTAAATATTGTGTGTCTCTCTAGGGCTTATTGACATTCCCTTGAATTTGTTCTGGTTATTATCTAGCTGTATTTCCTGTTAGTCATCAGGTGGCCTTTATTCCTCTTAACCTGTGGAATCACCAGGTATTCTAGGTCTCCTAACTTTGATTGCATAGCATGACAGGTATTAACATGATCTGCTTTTCCTGAACTTGCCCCCTTGAAGTATGGTTGCAATTTATCTTTACAAGGACATTCTGCTTTCAAATTGGGCTCTCCCCGGAGTTAGTTATCCAATCCAATTTGATGTCAATGAATAATTTCAGGAAGACTTTTAGTATTTCCATGTTTAACCCATTAGTAAACATATCCAATGCTGACAAAGAAGCACTTATAACTCCATAGTAACTCCACTTACATAAAATGACAACTTTAGTCAATGTCTACCAGTTTTGATCCAACATAAAATAGCTTCCAGTGTTACTGACAACTAGCTCTTTCTACATCCAGGTGCTGTGCAAAGAATCCAGAGACACAGAAATAAAGCAATCATGATCTCCTGACATATCGATATATGCAGGAGAGCCAGAGTCCTTCTAGGATATAATGCTTGTACAGGAAGCAGTTGGGGACAAAAAGGTGGAGGTATATTCTACCTAAGACAGGTAGGAAAGTGTTCCTAGAGAAGATGAAACAGGCTGAGTCTTGAAAATGAGTCAATGTAATCCAGGATAGGATTCCAATTAGGGCATTAAGAAACTCCATACCCTACCAAGCTTGAGAGTTTATAAAACACTTTTCTTATGTATTGCTTGAATTAATCACCCAAGCAGTCCATGTTTGGAATGTTTAGAATCAAACATATGTGAATTTTAAAGGCTTTTTCATTTTAGATGATGAAACTCAAATCTAGAGAGCATAATTTTCCAGAATTCAAAGAGTTAATGAATGGCAGCCAACACTGAAACTCAATACCAGTGAAGTAAAGGCTGTGTGTTGGAGGCGGGGTGTGCTGGAGCTCACTAACACTGGCTCTGGAGATTCAAGTGCTGAATACTGGGGAATTTTTAAAGCCTGTTGTCAAGCTCTTGTAGCTTGAAGAAGGCTACATTAAGAATGTGTTCGGGCCCTCCCTGGTGGCGCAGCGGGTTAAAGCACAGCACTAAGAAGCTAAAGTCACTTTCGCATGAGTTCGATCCCCACCCCAGAAGTGATCCACATGGTGCGGCAGACCTCTCCTAACCCCTGCTCCCTCAGCAGTGTACTTCCTCAGTTGGCCTGCTCTGCTCCCCACTCTGTCTCTGGTGAATCCTCTCACCGCCCCCTGTACCTCTGGCCTGTTCCCCAGTTCTGTATGCATAAATAAATATTAAAAAAAAAAAGAATGTGTACATCACAGAAATGGGCATATGCATTAGAGTTTTTTCTTTCCCTTTATTATGTTTTTGATTGTCAGTTTACCAGCAGACTACTGTCTATTGGTTAGCATTACCTTGCAGGAAACAGCCTTTATAAAACTATAGTTTGCACTAACACAAAGAGATGGATGAAAAGCCTTCCCTAGTAACTTCTCTGTGACTTAGAAGTCAATTATTGACAAGGATTGATCTGAGTACTAGTCTACTTTTTAAGTGACAATCCTGTCACTTGAATTTTTATATGTCGATTACTTGTGAAATTTCTTGTGTGCCCAATTCTAGTGAGAAAAAAAACAAGATTTAAACACAATCCCTGCCTATTAGGGGACATGCCAGTATTTTTGTGAATGTGGATATTGGCCAGCTGAGGCATTCATTTTTAGGCCATGCTTGTCAATTTTACAAATTCCAGTTCTACTTTTGTTCTTCTGTTAACAGGTTATCTCATCAGCATTTATGTGAACTCACAAAAAAATGACAGCAAAGAGCTTTGAAATGATTTATAACTTTAAAAAGTCATAAATATTCAAAGTAAAAGGACATTTCATCCTATTCATCCAGTACTTTATATGAGAAATATTCAAGGGCTACATGTTTGTAAAACTGTTTATTCTCATAACACCTACATCCCCTCTACATTTAATGTGAAATCCTTCTCTACCTACCATGCTAAGTGCATTGTCTGCCTTGACTGACCTAGCTGACAAACAACTGTAAGCAATTTTTTAAAAATAATGCACCTTCTGAAATATAGATAAATCAATCCAGGCAAATCTCCAAATTAAAATACCTTGAGCACACCACTTGGGAAGTTTACTAGGAGCCCATTAGAGACTGGCATGGAAACGTGAAGGGAGTGTGCAGTCATTCGGGACCTGTACAATGTGCCACATTGTTCATTCACTTCTTCATTTTAAACAACCTCACCTCATACCAACTGACTGTAGATCTCCTGAAAACGCCACAAGTAGCATACTTGAAATATCAGGCATTTTCTTTAAAACATCTGGGATTCTCCTCAAGTGCTAGTAACTGAGGTTTATGTGCTGGTGTGTCTATGTGGGTGAGGGATATTTACAGATATTGAATTTGCTTAAAAAACATAATTTTGTGCCTCTTGCTATAATTTTTGTAGGTTTATGGTACAGACATTTTCTTTGAGTTCCCATTAAATGCATTTCTATGATGCCATATATTCTAGGTGTAAGTCTGCTAAAAAAAAAAAAAAAAGTTTTTCAGAGACATAGCTAATTATTCAGTGTGTTTTATTGCATTTGGATTACTTAGTTTGCACAATATCATCTAAGCTACCAGAATCTATTTGTTTCTAGAATTTACTTGGAACACACAACTTGGGAAGAGTTTACTATGAGCCCATTAAAGACCGGCATGGGAACATCCTCATAGTTACCATCAGAGAGGTGGAGATGCTCTATTCATTTTTTAACGGCAAATGGATGCAGATCTCAAAGCTCCAAAGTCAGAGGAAGTCTTTGTCAACACCTGAGGAACCAACAGCCTTAGACATTTTACTGATAACCATCCAGGTATGTGGCCTTTCCAATTCCCTATTATAGTTAAAATTCTAAACACACGTAAGGAGGTTTTAGTGGCATATACTGAAATCCATTCATATAAGCAGTGGTGGAATGGAAGGGTCCAGAGATCTGTCATTGTTTGTATTTAACGCACTGGAAAGATAATTTTCATTGATCATCCTCTTTATCTGGGATTCGTTAAGCAATACAAGTAGTGGGCATCCTGAAAATGCTCTGACCAGTGAGCCAAAGAGGAACATGAGACAAATGTTTGAGTAGGGTTCAGCAGTTTGTATAATCAAAACATTAAGCCAACACCTAAATAGACTATAGTAATACATTCCTAGACTCCATGTGTGCACATGAAACACTTTCAACAAAAACTACTTGTATACATATTTACTCTTGCTTTTTCCTCACAATACTTCCTAGGGACAAAAATGAAATAACTGAGGTTCAAAGATATTAAGTGACATAGCCACACCCTGAGGCCGATTTGATGAAGCTAATGAAGTTTCAGTATTATTTGGGTCTTTGCTTATGCAATTCCCATTCCAGACCCTAGCAGGAACCCTAACAATTTTACAATCATAATTTTGTATTCTTTTCTTCAATGAAAGGACCAAAACTTTTTTTTAATATTTATTTGTTTGTGCATACAGAACTGGGGTACAAGCCAGAGGTGCAGGGGCAAATCGACCAAGTACACTGCTGAGGGGAGCAGTGGGAGGGTCAGGAGAGGTCTGCCACGCCATGTGGGTCACCTCCAGGTCAGGCGGGAATCGAACTCATGCGGAAGTGGTTTTAGCTTCTTAATGCTGCGCTTTAACCTGCTGCGCCACCAGGGAGGGCCAAAGGACAAAAGCTTTTACTAGCTTCAGGCCCCACTAAACTGATTTGCTCCTAAGCACACCCCTAGAAAATATCAGAGCTAAGGGCCTCTCTGGTGGCATGGGGGTTAAATCTCAGTGCTGTCACTGCTACAGACTGAGTTTAGTCCCTGGCCAGGGAGCAACCCATGAGGCCCAGCAGACCTCTCCTGTCTGGTCCACTGCTCCCCTCAGCACTGTATTTCAATAGATCCATCTATGCTGCTCCCCACTCTGTCTCTAGTGAATCCCCTTACCCTCCACATCTCCAACCTACATCCCAGTTCTAACCAAATAGATAAATAAATATTTTAAAGACTGAAACTTGAACTCAGATCATCTTATTGGAAGAAATCTTCTTTCTGCTACATTATAACATATTGTAGGGCAAGAAATAGGATTTCGTGAGTGAAAAATGGAAAATCCACCCAAATAATGGGTGACTGGTTCATCTATGCACCAAGTAGCCACCAGCTCCAAAATTCAAGTAGCTTCAATGTAGACTATTAGCTTGCATGACAGAACTGGACACCAACAAGCTTGCATCTTTTCCTCTAAGTCCAGCACTCTCTTCCTGCCACCATACCACCTCACTTGTTCTGATGTGAACATGGGCTTCAAATTGTTTCCTTTCTCTCCTTGTTTTAAAAACAGTCATGGGGCTAAATCCTATAGAACTCTCCCAATCAGGTATAAAAGCTGGCAGAATCATCTGCCTTTAGCCCTCTGCAATCAGTGACATATATCCACAGTTTAGCCAATCCAGAGTAATAGAAAGGGGATCAGTCTCACATAAACACACCAAATCCAAGCTTTGGGCCCAGTCGGTTCTCATAATCATTCTAAACAGCTAGGGCAACCAGCCCACTAACTTACCTTTATTCCCCTCTAAGGGACAGCTAGTACAGTAATCTCACCTTTCCATTACTTGCTCTGCTGCAAGCCAGGACTAAGTGCAATATGGCAAAGATAAGTTAATCGCTCAAAGCCAGCACTGCTCGGTTTGATTTGCTGGGTTCATATAAAATTCACTCTGTGTGTGTGTGTGTGTGTGTGTGTGTGTGTAGGTAGGTGGGAGCAGAGAACACAGATACTGTTCGTGGCTTGCCTCTTCACCTTTTATAAGCAAGTGCTAAAAGAAACATTTAAAAATCATAATAAATTGAGCTTTTACAGGGTGACTAATACACTAATCCCCTATAGGGATAAACGGGGGTCTGGGCTACCTTTGCTCCTAGAAACAGAGCACAGCCCCCAGCATGATATAATACCTAGTTTCTCCTAGACTTATTACATTAAAAATGTGTTACAGGTGCAGAAAAATTCCAATCTGGCGAAAGGTTGTTAGAGGAGACCAAAAATAGAGGCAAGATCAGGTTTCCACACAGATCCAAGTGGAAAATTTACCCCCGCTGACTGGCACATTCCTGCTTGATGTCATTCCAACCCACCCCCACTCTCTCTTCTCCTCCCCTCAACTTCATCTCTCTCCCCTCCTTCCCATACAGGTCTTACACTGCAGAGGAAATGAGGAATAAACTACTAGGTCTGGTATCCACTTTCTCCTAGAGATTTGAGATTTGACATCAACTCAACACGAAAGTAGAGATAGGTCTTAGTGGTTGCCCAAAGCTGGGAGGTAATTCCCAGAAGGACTCACCACAAACCACTGTCTCCTCTCAAGGTCAGTAGAGTAATGACCACCAGTGCTTCCTAGAAGCCTGGAATTCTTTCTGCTACATTATTTGTATATTCTAGGGCAAGACTTTGAATCATTCTGAGTCCATCTTTTCTAGATATATATCTAGGGCTAGTTACCTTTCTTCTCATCTTTGGTACTTTCCACCTTTAAAAAAACTCTATTCCAGAGAAGTCTGATGAAGATTACATGAGTAATTACAGAAAGTATTAGAAATGTAGCACCAAATGAGAGTTCAAAAAGTTTTAGTGACTTTTATTATGTCTCGACTCACAACTATCCAAATGGTCTTCACCCAGGGGTCTTCAAAACAGATAAAGACTTTAACAAAATCTAGATCTGTAACTAATCTATCCCAAGTGTCTCCGGGCAACTCTAATGTCTAAACCATTCAAATTCCTGACCCTCTTAAATCCTGAACCTTTATAATATGCTGCTCTCAGATATCTGTGAGGAAGAGAAAAAGAAATCCTTCCCACACTTGCCTGGGAAAGAAAAGAGAGTTACTATGGACACATTAGAGTTCCTCTAGGCAGACTAATTAACAATGAGAATATTTCCACTAGGGAGGCTCCACTCAGCTACTGAGTTACTCCAATCATGGATCTTCATGGGTCATCTCAATAACTGGAAGCTTCATGAGTGAAACTTTTCTGAAAATTAATCTCTTATATTTTACAACACTTAGATTTTACAACACTTTGTCACATCATCTATGATGTCATTTGATTTCATGAAAGAGTTTGAGTGGATAATTTTATTTTGTCCAGTTCACAAATGAAGCTTCAGGCTTCAGAAAAATAAGGTGACATCAACAACAACAGAGCAGAAACTAGGGTACAAGTTATCTTTCTACTTAGTCTTACCCTTCCTATTCTACTAAACTCCTTTGTCTAGATTCCTAAAGTGTGATCCTAGAGAAACTGCCACAAAGCTTATCTCTTGTCCCTTTCCGTACCTCAATTTCATTCTCTTCTCCTTAACATTACTTGTCATCCTCCAGAGACCAGATCTCCTGCTTTATACTTGAGATGCCTAGAACCTACTACTTCTTCTGCCCTTTTCTGCTTTTTCTACCCTACTTGTTCTATCTTCAATCATCCTTTAACATGGGAGTCAAAAACTGTCGGAACAAGGAAGATTAGTGGAAATGAGCTTGCTGAGCTGGGCATAAGAATCAAGTGTGTGCACAGGAAAACTTGTTCATTAATGTTCACAGTAGAATTTTTCGTAACAGCCAAACAATAAAAACAAAAAGGTCCAATAGCTGATGAATGGATAAACAAAATATAGTTTATCCATATATTGGAATACTATATATTCAGTCATAAAAATAAAATACTGATACATAATACCGCATGGATGAATCTTGAAAACTTGCTAAGTGAAAGAAGTCAAACACAAAATGCTTCATATTACTAGTCCATTAATATGAAATACACAGGATAAATAAGTCCATAAAACAGGGAGTAGATGGATAGCTCCAGAATCAGGGGGAGAAAGGACTGGGGACTGACAGCTAATGAATGTTCAGTCATAGAGTTTCAGTTATAGAGTGATCAACATGATCTAGAATTGGGTAGTGATGATACTGTACAATATTGTGAATATGCCAAAATAAATCACTTAATTTTTCACTTTAAAAGGATGAATTTTATGGAATGTGAATTATAACTCAATACATAAACAAGAGGACATAATAAGACTCTAGTAATCTGGAGCACCCTTATCCCACCTAAAATACACCTTCATTCAGCCTGGGCCAGTTGCAGCGGTAGACAGTGAGCCTACTATTGACATATTTACCAATTTCTCAAAGAGTAGTTGAAAAGCCAGAGTTTGGGGATAAAATACCTTACTTTTAAGTTTGGAGGTGGGCTCTCCCTGGGCACAACGGGTTGAAGTGCAGCACTATGAAGCTACTGCTGCCACTACAGCACAAGTTCAATCCCTGGCCAGGGGTGTGATCCACATGATGTACCAGACCTCTCCTGACCCACCTGCTGCTCCCCTCAACAGTGTATTTCAGTACATCTGCCTGTTCTAAAACCAACCCACTCAGTCTCTGGTGAATACTCTCACCCCGACCCCACACACACACCTCTATCCTGCACCCCAGTTCTGTATTCATAAATAGGTTTTTACCAAAAAATAAAAGTTAGGAAGTAATTCATAAAAGTTGATTGCTTTGTAGTCCAGATAATACATTGTCCACAAAGGCCACTGGCTATCATTTTATGGCCTGTACCATCCCAGGACAATTCAGCTTCCAATGAACAAAACAAAAGCTTGTACTTATTGGAAAGGCAAATATCTATATTCTGCTAACAAATCCTCAAGACATCAGATCAATGGAGTGAAGTTAGATGTACCCTCTCAACTCACTGCACCAGCAAAACATATTCTCTCCCTGAGGCCCAGACCCGGACCCCATTACCTTTGGGCCTCTCACTTCATATTTAATAAACATTTTTTCAGCACCAACTAGGTGCCAGGAACTCTTCTGTGTGCTATAGGAAAAACAAATGAATAAGTCAAGATCCCTGCTCTCAAGGAGTTCAGTCAAGGAAGGGAGACAGACTTGTAAACAAATCAAGGTAATACAAGGCAGAATTAAACCAGAGCCTGATAGTAGTACAAATAGCGTACTATGGAAACACAGACAAAGCAGCTATTAATTCTACCTGGAAATATCAGGGAAGGCGTTGTAGAAGAGGTGACATTTAGCTGAGCCATGAAGGGTAAGTTAAGTTCACCTGGTGGAGGGAAAAAAAACAAAACAAAACAAAACAGAGAAAAGTGGGAGGAGGCAGGAAAGGAAAAAGGCAGGGGAGGGGCAGGAAGAAACTGAGTGGAGAGAATTAAATAGAGAATATGGCCTAGATATGAGGAAGAAGCTGGAGAAGTCCAGAACAGATCTATATAGACTTCTCACAGCCTATATCACATGGTTGAACATGCACTAAATGGGCATTCCATGCAGGGAAGGATCACGTCTTACTCATCTTGATGCCATTGACACACTCGGACAATGCCTGGTACAGAGTTGGTATTACATAAAATGAATGAATTCATGACTGAGCAAGGGAACATTTTAAAAGTGCAATGAGAACAAGCATGGGAAAGGACAAAAAAAAGATCCATTCTGCCTGAAAAGACGCAGAGCTATAATGAAAGCAAAAGCTAGAAATTCAGATTAGAGGTCAAATCAGACAATATAGAAACCCATAGGCCTTTGATTTGGTTTCGGCCTTTCTCACATATCTCAGCTTATGAGAATGTGACAGCTTCATTCTCTTCCCATGTATTTCTCAAGTTCCAAAAGCATTTTGATTAATACGAGAGATGCAGAGGCAAACAAATACATAGTAGATGCTCAGTAATTGTCTTTCAAAAGACTGAATGAAAAAATAACTCCATCCCAGAGTGGTGGTGTTTTTTACATAACCACAGTATGTTCCTACCTCACATTCTATTTGTGGTCAGTTTTGACACCCACATGTTTTTCTCTCATACTCATACCCATCCTATATTTGTACTCTTGAGTCTGGGTCTTTACAAGCACATTTTCTTATTAAGTTTCAACCCTAATTATGATAGGCTTATTTTTCCAATGCATTGGGTCATTCAAAGTTTTATTATTATTTTCCAAAAACTCAAACCACACCAAATTTGGAGCCCACAAATTTGATACACATATTCTTCATCTCTCTGTCTGGAACATCAATAAATAAGCTGAACAGATCGGGCCTCAGGCTGAGGTCCTACTGGGCTATCACTCAACGTCTCTAATATTCCCATACCAACTCCATCATTGACAAATCTTCAACCCAAGTATTCAGCTTAATAAAGAAACATCGTCAAGACTACTTTTTCCAGATTATCTAGTGAAATGTTACATTGGAGACTTCTCCCTAGTCTGTGAATATTTAGAAATTAAAGTTGTCTGTATGACAAAACCATATTGACTCCTATTTAGTGCTGCAGGGTTTCCTAGGTGATTACAAATTGCTCGTTTAATGATTCTTTCTCATTTTCCCCCAAAGATCAGTAAGTTGGCAGTTTTTAATTACTAAGTTTATCCCATGATTTTCCGCTTCCTATTTCAAAATAAGCATTTTGGTCCTTTTCTACTTCTCCATGACTTCTCAAAAGTAATGACTTGTTTGTAGCTACATTTGCTTATACAGCAAATACCCCTGTGGTAGGGTGCATATCATAAAATTCTCCTCACCTGAATACTAGCATTTTTTCCTCTCTCATTAACCATTTTTCCCTTTCTTTGATTATCTGTTCATTTCTGAAAATTTCACCAAGACTGAGCTTTTTCCCAGCAAACTACTGATCTGTGATCTGTCATGAAGAGACAGGATAAAGGGTATTTTGTAAGTTCCCATGCCGGAACTTCTCTTCACAGACCTCCCTCAGCAGTGGTAGCTCTCCTCAAGGCTGCCCGCTGCAGGCCTCTCTTAGCAAAGCTGTCCTTCTGCCCATTTGTGTCTATGAAAGTGTCCTTTATTTCTCTCTCCCTTTTATAATAAACCTGCCCTTTTGGATATTTTTAAAAAAAGAGACTTTATAAGTTCAGTCTTAATAATATCCTGCTATTACTATAAATTCCTTATCATGAAATCAAAATATTTTTCTGTGTACATTTTTGCAAACCATCTTTAAAATTATATAGCCTTTGCATTTTTGCACATGCTAGTCATGTTGTCCTAACTATCGTGACTATTTTTATGTTGTCCCTCTTCTATTGTTCTTTTATGTTCTGTTTTAGGGACCTGGTCTGATTCCACGTGCCTATGATATGCAGAATATAGCTACTATGTGCAGAAATAATTACTGGGTACAAAGAATATAAAGCAATAAAAAAAAATAAAAACTTAGTCCCATCATTAATTTCAGAGTCTCATTCTAGAAAAGAACGTAAGAGAAGAAAAATATAATCTAAGTGTCCACATTCCATTGTATGACTTTAACTCTATTATAAAACTGACGTCAGTATAGTTTCAGTACATTGTGTGATCATTTGGGGACTTGTCTTTTTTGTTTTGTTTTGTTTGTCCTCTTCAAAAAGGGATCAAGCCATGTTCACCCAAAACCACAATGTCTTCTACACTGTCCCAACTCAGTGTGACAGATAGAGGATGGGACAGAGGAGACATCACGCTACAGCACCTGTCTGACATTGCAGGTGGCTAATCTACAAAGGGGGTCACTCTTCCATAGTAGAGTAGTCAAGGCAGGCCTCATACTCCTCAGTTCCATATAGAATTTTGTTTTTCTCCTTGTTGCCTTCCCCACCTTTAGTCACAAAGTTGATTCTTTTTACTCACTTTGAAAGTCAAGCTAACCTTAATCTATAGGAATCATCTAGCTGACTCATCACTCTTTACTCTGTCTCACACTTATACTGCCCAAATGTTTTTTAAAAGACTTACCTATAGAGGGCTCTCCCTGGTGGCACGTTGGGTTAAAGCACCACATTATGAAGCTCTCCAAAGCTACTGCAGCATGAGTTCAATCCCTGGTCAGGGAACTGACCCACATGGCAGGGCAGACCTCTCCTAACCCACCCGCTGCTCCCCTCAGCAGTATACTTTCTCAATCTGCCTATTCTGTTCCCCACTCTGTCTCTGGTGAATCCTCTCATCCATCACACCTCTGGCTTATACCCCAGTTCTGTAAGCATACATACATACATACATACATACATAAAGATTTACCTATTGATATGAGGGAGAGAGTCTATATTTGCAATTATGTATAGTCTGACTTATTCTAATCAAATAGGGCAGCAAATGTCACAACCTAAATAGTTCACTGGAAAACAAAGTTCTGCTCACATATTCCTTTGTACTTAACTAGGCTGGCATTCTCTATTTGCACCAACAATTTCATTCAGTTTATGTTATGGAATATAATGCAAATTGAGTGTAAATCTGTGATACATTTTGTAAAAAATACTAAAATTTTGAAGATGATATGCACACTTAATCAAATCATATGCAAAACTAATGACAAATGAGAATCTATCAATGGTAGATTTAAGAATATAAAATGAACGTGTTTCAAAAATATTAATGTTGGTAAAACTATATGAAGTCCTGGCCCTTCCTGGTGGCACAACGGGTTAGGATATAGCACTGCAAGCTAGCAACAGCCGTTTCAGTGCCACATGGCGCGGCAGACTTCTCCTGACCCACCCACTGCTCCCTCAACAGTGTACTTCGTCGATTTCCCTGATCTGCTACCAACTCTGTCTCTGGTGAATACTCACCACCCCTGCACCTCTGGCCTGTACCCCAATTCTGTGTGCATAAATAAATCACAAAATATAGACATATATGTACATGAAGGCCCCAAGTAATCTTCAAAAAATTATCTTTATCATCACATTGTGAAAACCAAGTATGAGTATCATTTCAACTATCATACAATTTAATCTAAATAATTTTAAAAATAGAATTAATACTTGATTCTCCATTCTCAGAATCAATGAATAATTACAACTTAAATGTTAATAATGTAAGGTGAATAAATCTATTGCTCTTTTTTGTTTGATTTTGTTCAAGAGCATCGAACTTTTTTTCGACTTACTATAAAATTTTGATTCTGTTTTAAGTGGTGTCATTGAAAATGGGCTTGATACCAGTTATCCTGAGATGTCTTCCCATACTGGTTTGTCAGCTTTTAAGCTTTTACATTTGCACTGTGTTTCCTCCCCTGCTAAACCACTAGCCCTCAAAAGATGAAAATCATGAACTATATCACCACCAGCCCAACCCCAATTACAAGTTACACACCTACCCCTGGCCCACAAAGCTGAGAAAAATAAGCATTGGAGTAAATTGATGACCTTACTTAGAGGCTTATTCTTCAGAAGATGAGGCTAGCTCTATCACCCACATGTCCCCAATATTCATGGGGTATTGAATGTTTCTTAACTAATTCATTAGATAACATGGTTGACCTTAGAAAGAAAAGCTTTAGAGATTGTCAAGGTATGTTTTGGTTTTGCTGTACAGGATATTCTCTCCTATCACAAAAGAAGTCATCAACGTCTCTCTCCTGGATTATATCTGGGTTACCTAAAGTTATGTAGCTCTGTGGATCAGATCAAAGTACTCGTTACCCAAAAGTTACCCAACATTCTCTGTCATGTGAAGATCCGAGAAAACTATAACATTTCCAAGTAAGTTGTCAACAATTTGAATTTTCCTTGTGCTAGAACAATGACCACAGCAATGAGCTTGATGTACCACAAGAAAACTGAAGTGTTAGTTCCCAGTGTAGTTTGTATGGTAAGAACTTCTCAGTAGCCAACACACTAGAGCAAAGACAAAGCTGGGTTTTGACATTAGGATAAGGAGGATTTGTGTGGTGTTTATTGGTGGAAGGAGTGATACCACTTCCAAGGGCACTATCCTTTCACTTCTCTCTGCCTTATTCATTGTGCAACAACTAATGTACAGCTGGTTAATGAATACACGTCCTTTTATTTCAATATTTCTATTTCTAATATATTTTAATTAAAACCTAAAAAACCGGGCCCTCCCTTGTGGCGCAGCGAGTTAAACACTGCACTAAGAAGCTAAAGCCACTTCTGCATGAGTTCGATCCCCGCTTGCCCTGGAGGTGTCCACATGGCATGGCAGACCTCTCCTGACCCACCCGCTGCTCCCCTCAGCAGTGTACTTCGTCAATCTGCCTGTTCTGCTCCCCACTCTGTGTGTGGTGAATCCTCTCACCATCCCTGCACCTCTGGCCTGTACCCAGTTCTGTATCCATAAATAAATAAATCTTTAAAAAAAAAAAACCTAAAAAAGCCATTTATTGAAAATATTGAAATATTTCTTGTGGAAATGCATTCTGACTGAGCAATTGATTTCCCCTTACTCTTAAAAGACCTCCTACCTTCATGCTCCCTGCTCCTAACTCTAGCCTGAAAACATTGTATGTTTCCTACATATTTTATGGTTCTCTAGGGAAGAAAAGAAGTAACAAGTTCTGAGCTTCTGGAAACTGCTCTATGATTTGGCATTATGGCAAATTACTCTGTTAACTGTGGGAAAGTTGCCCAATATTGGTAATCTGGCTCAGCTTTATAACTAGCTTTAGTAGGCCTCTGAAAGTCTACTGTAATGAACTGAATTATGCTCAACATGAAAAAAGAAAAAAAAATGAAAGAATAGATAAGAAAGTAATTGTCTAGAGTTCATCAGGCTTCAGAAGCATAAATTAGGTACCCAGTTCCCAGTTGTACCTATGATTTGCTTCAAAGGAGACTCTAATTCGGTCATTTAAAGGGTTCCTAAAGTCACAAGAGTTTATTAACTGTAATACCCACAATGTTTATTAACGATTATTTAATAGCAATGAAGGAAGCGATGATGATGAGATGGTGATGACAAGGATAATGGTGGTACTATCACAAAGAACTCACTAGCTACCATAGTCTCTTCTTTGACTAACTGCATGGCGACTTTAAGTCTGCCACCTGGTGGTCACTTCCACAATCAGCACTCGATACCTCAAGTCTAGCAGGGGTTCCAACCTCTTACTTGTAGGTTGACTCAGCAATAGTTACTTTCATCCATTTTCTAGATTTGTATTTTAAGATTTTGACTTTCTTTCAGTGGTCATACCAATGGACTTTCTCCATGCCAAGGACACAAGTTTCGTTTTTTACAGAAGACTCCAGTAGCCTTCATTCTGCCATCTCCCTCATCCTTATAGGCTAAACTGATGAGTTACTGGGAGATATGGCATGGTATCCTGGCTGGCAATTTATTTTTCCAATTTGATTATTAATGCTATTGTAGCAATGTGGCCCTTTGGGTGTTGTGTCTCCTTACGCAAATCAGAAACCCCCTCATCTAGTTCGATATTAGTGATGAGCGAAAATAGTTCCCAGTTCTCAAATATGTCGATTATTTGTGAAACCAACAGTATGTCCAGATTGAGGTAAGATTTCATTTTAATTTTTGCTGCTATAGAGACAAAGGGTAGACTTTCCATAGTCTTTTCCAGTAGAGAAATGGAAACAAAACAGATACCTTGAAAACGGAAATTTTCGAAGGGGATAGTTGACTAAAAGAGTGTTTTCTAATGGAAAGTCTAAGCCATAATAAATTAATTTTCTGTCCCACAGATCTGTCCCTGGTTGGGGAGAGCCCTCAGAGGGTTTTCACAGAGATGGGAACCCATGTCAGCATCTCCCCTTCTGTATGTGCAGATCATGACTAGATTCATGTCTAGCCCATCTCTTGAGAGCATATTGCCATGATGTCCTGCAGTTTGGAGCAGGAGAAACTGGGCCAAGTGAATGTGTTTAGAGACTTGTACTAAAATACCTGTGGAAACAATGTTGCCCAAAAGGCATTTACCTTGATCTTTTCAAGCTTCTTTTGAAGAGCAGCTTTTGGGGGACAAGCCAGATGTGCTTTCCTCCCACCACCATTCTTTCCTTTTCCCTTCTGTGTGACATTTGGAAAAGTTCATTAGGAAGGATTATAGAGCATGCAGAATAAAGACACAGATGACTGGCTTGAAAAGAGAATGGAAGCAGTGAAGTGTGTCCCTGATTCCTTTTATTGGAATTGTCTGGTGTTCCTGTTTGTGATTCTCCTCAAGCTTTGGAAGGGAAACGAAACCAAAATAGTCCCCAAGATTACAACGGGCAAGGGTTGAAATGTGCCGTGTGGTTTGGTGCCTGAGTTGGACAGAGTCCTTGTGGTTACCCAACGCCTTAATTACCCAGCAGATGCCTCTGTAAAATGCAGGGTCCTCAAACTTATAGGATCTTCAGGAAAAGAAAAATAAAGATAGTCAGGAAACAATTACCAAATATTTCAAAGTTTTAGTCTCCAAAATCGATGCATATGAATGAAAGGTGTTATTCTGAGATATATGTGGTTTGATAGGTGAACTATGTTTGTTAGAAAAAGCTCATTTAAAAGTTTATTTGGGTGGCAAAAAAAGTTCAAATGTCAAGAATTCCATTGTTTTAACCACCAAAATTGGTTGTCCAGGTTCTGGACATATATACTAAAAATGTTTTGCGCTGTGTTTGAACTTTTGTTATATTTCTAATTTTAACTTGACTCTACATACAGGGAGGAATGGGAATGGGTCCAAAAGCTTTCTGGCTCTGAATCTATGGAAAGTGTGGATCATACTTCTGACTGCCCCATGCAATTGTTCTTCTACGAGCTCCAGATGGCAGTGAAAGCTCTCCTTAAGCAGATTAATATACCTCTACACCAGGTACTAGTCTTTAGCATTTTATCTTCCTTTTATTGCTAATGGAAACTGCATTGTAGCATAAAACTCAAGAGGTAAATACATATATGTACATATACATATGTGTGTATATATAGTTTCCATTCACTTGAACCCCACTTTGCATGAGCATGCATGTTTTGAATCTGATGCCTACAAGTGGGCCACAGGCTGTACTTCTGCCACCTTTCTCTAGATCCCCCATGTTGATTTTTCCCAAGGTTCCGACACCCCATAGTATATGTTCTGATTAAATAAGTGAAAAGCATTGACTAGCCAACTTTGAAAGAGAACAGTTTTCAGCTTCAAGGTAAGATGAAGTAAGTAGAATGAATGTGTTAAGGGGAAGGATGTCCTAAAGGAACCCTGCAGAGTTCCTTTCATCTGTTACAGGGTACCCCAGACCACTCTGCCGCCTGTCTGTGGGGCCTCACCCATGCACTCAAAATTCAGTTATACTGCAGGCACACACAAAAGGGTCAAAATGGGTTTACTTACAAAAAGGGAAAGGAATAGGGAGGGGGGAGGAGAGACACGCAATTGCACCCTACTTAACCCCAATGTCCAAGAAGTCCTGCTAGCTCGGCCCTTGGGTCCTCGCAGTTCTCTCCCTGGTAATGCTGGGAGTTGTAGTTTCCAATCTTTAGAGTAGGGGATAGAGTCCAGAAAGCTGGAGTGGGGGTTGAGTCCAGAAGACTCTGCAGAGTTCCTTCAGGACATCCTTCCCCTTAACAAATGACTAAGTGTGTGAATGAATGTGAGATGTATAAATGATTGAGCTAAGAGCAGAAGATCAGTGGCAATGTAACCTATAGGGATGGCCAAGACTGTGTCACACTATCTTTCCACTAACAGAGTTTACTGTCAAGATGATTGTCTCTTCTGAATCAAAATGTGCAACTCTAATAAGCAACTTCAGGAAAAACTGTTGGCTTAGATGAGAATAGTAAAAGTTTGTTAGCCTCTGTCTAGTAAGTTAACATGTTGTAGCATTAGATTAAATTCTATATAGTTTTTGGCATACCTTCACCATCTTCCCCAGCCAACACACACATACACACACCATCCTCTATACGCACAGACAAAATGAACCAAGTGTGGCCTGTCAACAGGAAGACCATTAGGAGTGTCTGGCTCTCTTTTAATAACAGAGAGACAACCATGAATTGACTCTGACCCAGGGTGGTGGGGGCAGGGCACAAATTAGAGATTCTAAGTGTATTCTTCCATTGGGGTACAGCTCTAATCATGAGTCAATACCACAAGCCTAGTCCAAAACAACCAATGCTGAAGAAGAATAAATTGCATAAGATGCCATTAAGACACTAGGAGAGCAACTGGATAAGGGTGGCCATGTACTGAGGAGTAGGAAAAAAATACCAGCTCTACTTGTGACAGTAGATACTATTAAAGGGTTTCTTGGGCTTAGCAGGTTTGAAGCAGCTCATATTTCACTGGTGACTCTGGGCTGCATATACATGTTGGGAGAGGCTGCCTAACTGCCTAAGAGTGCATACAACATTTTTTTTGATACTTGTAAAATTTTCTCAGTCCTTGGCCAGAAACTACATTTTTCCCCCTTAACCAACTTAAATTGAAACTAGTGGATTTTTAATTCAATCCATTTTTGTTGCTTCATGTAATTATATTCATCATTTTGAAAAGCCCACAGAATGCAATCATTTTCTGCTTTTATAAGAAGCATAAATGTTGTTTTCAGAGTTTATGTGGAACATTACTGCTTTAAATCTTGATTTTATATAGCATTATTAAATGGGCTGAACCCTAATATTTATGTTGTATAAAAATTCCAAGCTTGAAGTCGTGTAATTTTGTTAGATGTTTTATGCCAGTTTGGTGTTGTTTATGTAAGTGCCATGTTGTAACTCTCCTATTTTTCCTCCGCGCGTGTCCCTCTGCAGGCAAGGAACTTCCGCCTCTACACACAGGAGGTGTTGGAAATGGGTCACAATGTGTCCTTTCTTCTCCTGCTCCCTGCCTCAGACGACGTCTGTACAGCCCCAGGACAGAATAATCCTTACACCCCACACTCAGGGTTTCTTAACCTCCCTCTTCAGATGTTTGAACTTGGTATAGTAGCTTGTTTCACCTAGAAATATTAACCCAGCCTCCTTATAATAAAATCACAAAGTTATATCTGTTCCCCTTGTCCCAGTGGAGGGTCAATAAATCACATGATGGCTTTGGCAACAACCCTTCCTAGAACTGTGTACAAGTCTGGGAGAAAGCAAAGCTCCAAAACTATGTGTCTGAGCGATAATTATTGAAACCTAGCTAAGGCCCATTGGAGAGGAGGGAATTTAAACAGAAAGTTCAGTTATCAGGCTGCCGTTTTTGCCTCCCCCTTTGCTTTCTTAAAACATAAATACAAGAACTGATGTTTTCATGAAAAGCACTTCTCTCTCTTGCCCCCCCCACCATAGACACACACACACACACACCTCTCTTTTGCCTCCCCTCCCCCCCATCCTTCCTCTCCTCTAACGGGGGTAAAAATAGTGAAATTAAAATGAGCAGTGTCTACCACTCTGAAGGGAAAAAAGTCTAACTTTAAGTAATGCTGATTTATCAAATAGGCCCTAATGTTAATAGACTGCATGTCTCTCACAGTCCCCTTGATAAACTGACAGGGTCTCTCAGGATGCAATATTACAGTTATAATTGAGGGATTCTGAATTGTGGTAGATCTTGTCCTGACTTTCAAAATAGCCTGAGCCCCAGTTTCTCTATTTTTGCTGAGACCCCTGCTGCCCACTGAAATGTGAATAAGGAGGCTTTGTCTCCACCCACCACCACCAACACCACCCCCCTGCTTCATCTCATAACAGGTCAATAAGAGGCAATTAGCAAGAGTTCTATCAATTCAAAAGAATTGTATGGCTTGCAGGAGAGCAAATGACTGGGTGGGGAGAATGGAGACAGACTGTCTTTGGACTACTCCCCAGCCACCCAATTTAGCAGCAGACAGGGCAACTGCCTGATGTCTCATTTTGAGACCTGGGCATCTGAATCTGAATTTATCCCTTGGGGATAAATGGCTTAAGCTTCTCACTTTCCCTTTCTCCAAGCAGTTCATATGCCCAAAAGCTGTTGAAAAGCAATTGTTCTTTTCCAGAAGAGGGACAGTTATTAAGAGGAGTTTGAATCCAAAGCTTAAAAAATGAGGCTTGAGAGTCCTGGATCTTCTATTATGTGGCACTAGCAATCACTTAACCTTTCTGCACCTTTTCTGTGTCAAATGATAAATAACATTGACTATGCCACTTACACCAGGCCTCAATGTGAATGTGACCATTTAATGAGTTCTCCATCCAAAGAACATTATTAGCCCATGATATAACTGCATTACTATTGTGAAACACAGTTTGGGTCAAGGTATTCATTTCAAGTCCTCAAGTAAATATATTGGGTGCCTACTATGGACATTCAGAGGTGGGGAAAATAAAGGTCCTGCCTTCAGTGGGTTTTCAGTTCAGTGGCAGGAGTAAAATATGAATATAAATTACTATTGAATGAGGTAGAGTGTGTGCTGTAGCAAAAGTATTGAGTGATATTGACAAAAGAAAAATGAAAGCACAAAGAATATATCAGAAAATTGCCTTGAAGGAGAGGATATTTGAAGTGGGTGTAAAAATTGGCAGGATGTCAGTAATCATGGATATAGGAAAATTTGTCTTGTCAAAGAGTAAAGAATATACAAAGACATTTTTTCAAAAGAATTCATAATCAAGAAAAGAACAAGTGGTTTGATGTGGCTAGCTCAGAGAAATGATGTTGGGAATAGAACACAAGGCTGTGCATACAAGTTAGGGACATATGGGGAAGTATCTTAAGAATCAGGCTGAGGATCCTACTTGATATGGATTTAAAGCAGAATTAGGGGGCTATTTTAGAGGTTATTATAAAAGTCCAGTATTAAGATAGAAATAAAAATAGGAAACACAAATATCAATGGAAGCAATCAACAAGATTGGACAACTGTTTGAATCTATGTCCCCATAGGTGTCAGTCTCAAAAAATATTAGGATATGCTGCCATTACCAGAAGTAAGGAAATCAGATGTAAGAAATAGTTTGGGGAGTGAGGGAAATTTGGCTAGTGTCTACACATAACAGCTGAAATCATGAAAGTGACTTTTTTCCCCAGAGATACTTACCTGACAGGGAAAAGAAGCAAGGGAAATACTTCTCTGAAGAGTTAACTTTGAGTCCATTCTGTACAAAATGACCATTCTTGTTCCATCATTCTATGCAAAAACACATATGATTCTTTTCCCCAAGCCTCACTGGTCTTGGTAGGAAACAATCAAATTTATGGTATCAGTCATATTGGTGATTGACTCCCACAGTCCTGGAGGACCAAAAATGTCCTCTCTACCCTGCTTTTGAGGCGGTTCCTGCACCATTATTGAGCCACCACACTTTGTGCTACTGTTGTTACCCTTTATTCTACAATTTCCTTAATTTGTTCATTAATTCATCACCATGTATTTATTAAGTAACCTACTACTTAATGAATCATTAAACTACATTATTTCAAGTATTAGAAATTCAGTAATGGACAATATCCTCATGGAGCTTACATTCTAGTGAGGGAAACAAATAGTAAACCAATCATCAAACAAAAATATTGTGAATGTCAGAGATTCATGAGGGCTATGAAAGTCATATTGAGTTTCCAGAGACTACTTGGTTGGTATATATAGTTCTATTGGTCTTTTCTAGGGGTCAAAGTTTGCCAGTAGCAAGAAATTAATATACCTTACTGAACTTCAGTGCCACCATCAACATTTTTTAAAATATTGCTGGACTGTAGTAAGAATACAGACAAACTCTATCCCCAAGCAATCTGAATTCACCAAGAGGCAGATTATCATAGCTACTTCCTCCATTACATTTCACCCCATGAAGCACTTAACAATATCCTCTGTAGAAACTTCTAAGAGTCTAAGTGGACTCAAGTCCCTCTTTAGAATGATGCTAAGCTTTTTTATTTTATTTTTATAAGTAGGAACTTCCATCTTCATAGATCAGTAGTAAAAGGTGAAGAGACCCACTAAGCATTTCTGAAAAGACTATGTTGTAAGTTCAATAGAACTCAGGAGAATATAATAACACAGACATTTTAATGAAACTTGGAAAGGTACAAACTATGGAATATGTAAATTATAAGATTAAAGGAATATGCTATATCTCAGTTTGACTTGTAGAAGTCATCCCTGTCTGGATGAAAGTATTTGAGATCTGGCAACCCAACATGTTCCTAACAGTGGCCGAAGTTGAATCATAAATAACTTGCTAACCAGCTATGGAAAACTGCATCTGTGCCTATTCCAGCAAGGAATTTAGCAAGGACAAAATGATAAAGCCACTTAGCCTGCTCTGTCTCTTGGAGTGAAGACTAGGCTGGGCAAACCCTTTGTGTATTCCTTCACATCATTTCTAGTAGAAGACAGAGAGACTGCATACAGGAGAATGCTGTGAGGTCGCTAGAGCAGGGTTGAGCTGAGCAAAATGATATTAATTTCACCTCTGACACACCCATTACCCAGCCTGAGAGTTAACATCCCCCCATTCTTTGGGTGGGAAAAGGATAGCATTCTCTGCAAGAATAAAGTATGTAGCTGGAAACTTAAAAAGTCACTATTTATACTGCTCCCAGAGACAAAAGTCAAAGCGGCATCGTTAGTCCTTAGGAACTCTAAGTTTCAAGGTGGCCTGCTGAGGGTTTCCTGCTCCTGCCCTGAGGTCGCCCTACCTGGGTCTGTGGGCAGTCAGGCTAACAACATGCCTACAATAAGGAAAGCTGTGTTTTCTGACTTCCTTGGTTCTATGATTCATACTTTGTATCCTAGAAAAAAACTTTTTTAGAAGTAGAGAATTAAAAAATATATATTTTTGATATATATTTTATAATTCCATCCTCCATTCAACAAGCATTGACAACTTCCACTGTGTACCAAGTGCTGTGCCAGGACTGGATATCCAGAAAGGCACAGTCTTCTCACAGAGGCCTTGAATTCCAGTAGAAGATGCAGCCATCTATGTCTACAGTCCCAGTACAACGCAAGCTGTCCTAGAAGGGGTGGGTTGTTGAATTTCAGAGGAAAGATGCCTACTCCTTCCTTATCAAGATAATAGTTCAGCTAAATCTTGAAGGATAAATAAGCATTCAGAAAAGGAAATAAAAAGCAGAATGGGAAAGGGTAAGCATTATAAACAGAACATGTGCAAAGGCTCGGAGACCTGGGAAAATGTAGTTCAAGTAAGTAAACTCCTAGTAGCTCATGGTAACTTCTGATTAAGGCATTCAGGAAAAGTGACAGGGGCCAAAACTAAAAATTTTAAAGTGCAAAATCATGAATGGCCACTTAAGTCAACCTAAATGAGGTAGACTTTATCTGCTAAGCAATGGGGAGGCAAAATTAAGGAACAAAATGGTCTTACTCGTTTTTAGTAGTTCCATGGCGGGTGGATTGCAGAACAAAACAAAAGGCTGTGAGACAGTGAAGAGACTGGTCCAGGTGGGCAAAGAGGATAGCTTGAACCTAAGCATCCCTGTGGGGATGTGGAAGAGAAAACAGGCGCAAACGGAATTTAGGAGTTAAAATCAATAGGATTTTGTGATTGATTTAATGTTGTTGAAGAGCAAGATGAAGGAGACAGAGAGTCTGAATAGGGTGCTGAGATGGATATTGTTGCCATCTACCGAAACAAGAAATATATAATGGTGGGGGAGGGGACAGGCTTAGGGGAGGGGAGAGATGAGTTTAGTTTGACAAATGATGAGTTTTGAGGTGCCTGTGGGATATCTAGGCAGTGAGCCTAATGGAATCTAGGCCACGGGCTCACAAGAAATGGCACCGTCTCAACCCTCATTCGTAATGCCCATTTTTCATGATTTAGTATACCATTCCTGAATTCCAACTGTCAACTCATTCACGACCAGGAATCTTTAGAGGAGTATCTAGTGCCCAAGTTCTTTCTGACACAGGGCAAGGAATTATAGAACAAAACTGGCCCCAGAAGGTAATCTGATTGATTACTTAGCTTACAAACCAGATTGCATGACTCAGAATGATTAGGACTTTATC